TTACAAAGTGAATGAGTCCATAACTATTTAAAAGTAAAGAAGAGTATTTAACAGAGAGATTACACAGGACTGATTTAGAATTAAACTAAAAGTCAAGTCATCCAAGGGATGATACAATTCAATATAATAACATTTAAAATGTTTATCTTTGCTGATTTTTAACAACAAACTTCTGAAAGATGTGGATCAATTGTGGCCTGTGACAGAGAAACACAAGAGTGCAATCATTCATTTGCATTATTGAAAGTTTCTTTCAAACACACACACACACACACACACACACACACACACACACACACACACACACACACACACACGCACACACACGCACAAAACACGCCAAGACCCACTCTTGAGGGTTTGTGGTGAATTTGGCACTTTGGCAGTTTGCAGTTTGTGCATTAATGAGGCAGACATGACAGAATTCACTGAGTTGCGATGTAGCACAGCACTCGGTGGAATTGACAGGAGCATGAGAGGTACATCTACAGCTGTCTGCTGTCTGCTTGTTGCTATTGATCTATTATGAATGTCAGTTTCCACTTAGGTAGTGATTCATGCCGAGCTGGGGGTTGCACTGTGCTTGCATACAAACAGTTATTGTCATGCATAAGACCAGTGTAAAAGACTTTTCAACAAAGAGACTTTGGACTTGATCCAACACAGATCTTGAGCTAGTGTGACTTTAAAAAACTTTTAAATACTGGAAGTGGACAGTAAAGTCACATTTGAGATAAAGAAAGAAGCAAACTAGGGCCCTGGGACTTGGGATCTGATCTGATGATGGACATTCAACTTAACCACTGCTGTATATTCAACGTTCCACACGACAAAGAGCAAAGAGAGATTCAGACCAATTGAGTTGGGTGCCCTTCCTCAAGGGCAGCTCGAATGTATCCAGCAAGCAGAGATGCTTCTCTCCAACAACTAAATGCCATTTTTACATTTTTGTCCGCAGTGGGATGCAAACCCGTCCCCTCCAGTTCCAAAGCACATTTCTTTACAGATGAACTGCTCCCCCTCTACATCCGAACGAGGCATGTGGGGAGTTGTGCAACTTTATACCCATACATTAACTTGGAAAAACGTTCCACTGTGGTCCAATCCACCTTCTTGGTGAGACAGGCTTGAATGAATGAAATCCACAAATAACACAATTTCATGTTCGCTCCAAGGTGAGTAATGTGTGTGGTCTGATATATTCAGAGAACATCTTATCCATCTCAGCAAAAATTGCATCCACTTTCAAATTTTAATCCTCCAAGCATCCGCAACAAGTCTGCAGAAATATAATATATTCCTCAACTGCTTTTTTGATTTATGATCCAAGAAGATAATTCCTTTATCTTTTCTTTCTCAAGAATATTGGTTCATAGTTTGTTTTTTTAATTCCATTTATTTTAAAGTAAGAATAACTCGGAAGTGACCAGAAGGCATTTGTAAATAAAATCTTCAAGTAACATTGCATGTCTCTCGGCATCCATTACATCCTGGTCATCCTTAACGGGGGATTCCCCATCTGCAGTTCCTACTCAAAGTTTCTCATTTTTTCTTTTCTTTCCTTTCCTTTCCTAATTTTGAGGCTTATTCTTTTCATTATTATTGACAAACCCAGACAACGACCTAGTCAGGATAAGTCTAGAGATCCGAAGACTTACCGACCCAAACACATGCAGAGACACCTTTCATTGTAGAATTGAGTTGTCCAAAAAGTGACAAAAGGAAAGCTGGGGAGAGACAGGTGTATCAGAACAATATCAGCAGTCTATTGGGCTACAGAGAAGGAACTGATCTCCTAATTTTTCAGTCAAGTCATACTTCAGTCCTACCATGGTCCTGACCTTTGGGTAATGGCTGAGAAAAGGAGATTATGGAGCTCAAGATACAAGTGGCTGAATTATATTTGCTCAACAAGCGGGCTGCCTTAGGGGAGGATATGAACAGCCCAGAGGTCAGGCTTTAACTTTCACACTGAGGGGACCATCTTGCGGTGGTTCAGCCACCAAATGCAGCACCAAGGGTTTGAATTCGTCCGAGAAAATCCAAGAAAATTTTCCATCTTTTCTTTCGAGATGCCTTTGAAACAATACAGTCAGCCACTACAACTTACTTGAACAGAAAATTGACAGATAGATGGATCATATAAATATGTTTTTATTGTCTACATAAACATACCGAAACACCACATCCTGTTTTCTCCTGCTAAGACAATTAAAAACACCATTGCAGTCATTTTTTTTCTTCATCGGCATTTCACATAGCTGCAATCCTTTAATGTACATCTACGTAGTATTGACATTTCAGAACAGCTCAGGGAAACCGTCAAAGTAAGACATGCTTTTTCTTTTAAAAATGAACAATTTCATTTTCTTACAAACTGAACTAGCATGCCATGAACAACAATTCCTAAATCTTACACACATTTATTCTTCAGACATTTTTTTTTCATAACAACATCCAATAACTCATTCAACTTCAATTACTTACTCATTTCCCTTGAGTCCACTGGGGAGCGAGGCTGTGAAGAAGATAATGTCAAAGTACCATAAATTTGAATTAAATTTGAAGAACAGAAGTTATCCCTCTCTGTACAAAACTAGTGGTGTTTTGTCATGCATTATTTTAAAAGGCATCACTTACTTTAAATCTGTGAATGGCACCAAATGAAAACACATGGAATTATGTTTTCTTTTAAAACAACACAAAAATAGAAGAAAATCAATTTGCAAAATACAAACATCATGCCAACAAATCAAGCAGTCACATTTGGTTACTCTGATATTAACGCTCACAGACTATGTTTACATGCAACAACCCTTTCAAAAGCCAAATAACAACCTCACGTTTAAAGGAGGTAACCCGTTTATATGACAAAATATTCAGGTTAGAAAAGGGGTAGCTCAGGGGTCTTATTTGGATTATTAAAAACCTAAATAAGTGCATAGTCGGGGTTTTGCATGCATTTACATGGTCTTTAAAAACCCGAGTCCTGACAATATTCCGGTATTTAAAGTGTTATCGACTGCATGTAAACGTAGTCCCAGGTATAAATAAACATTCTGAACTTTCAAGTCATCCTGTGAAGGACATGATAAATTAATTCCACTTCAAGGGTCTTTTGCTGTTGCACTTGTGTGAGATTTAATAACTGTGCACATGCATACATATGCATACCGGTACACCCGCGTGCAAACACACGCACGCGCACGCGCACACACACACACACACGCACACACACACACACACGCACACACACACACACACGCACACACACACACACACCAGATTGGGAGGACATTGGACAGACTGTTGAGCTAAAAGTCAATGTTAGACTACTTGTGCTACAAAATAGACCTACTTTTACCCCACCAAATATTTTGCCTAATTTTTGTTACTAAATTTGCAGATGTGCTGGGGGGAAAAGCAAAAGCAAGAATGCCCAGTGAGGCCTAGTGTGTGTACCAAATTCACAAACGTGGAACTGAGCACCATTGCTCCTTCATGAAAATGACGTGCCTGTTTGTATGCCAAGCGCATACTACTTTCTGTTACCAAATTGTCGAATGAGTCGGGGGCGAGGCATGTCCGAGCACTGACACGCCCTGATTATGCGCACTAAGGCGCCAAACACACGAGACTAGACTTGCACTGCCACAAAAATTAAGTTACGCCCATTTCTTCGTCGAGCGCATACTACTTTCTGTCACCAAACTGTCGAATGAGTCGGGGGCGAGGCATCTCTGTGCGGCGACATGCCCAGATAGGCGCAACATGGGCCCAAACATGCTGGAGTAGACTTGCAGTGGAACAAAAATGAAGTTCTGTCCATTTGAGCGCATTGGCCCTAGTCTACCATAATGCGGCCCCAGGTTTTGCCACTGAAGCGGAAGTGCGGTTTTAACAGTGACATTTAAAAATATAGTTTGAATCTATTTTTTTAAACGAAATAAAATCTTTTTGACTTACCATAATTATTTTCTTTTTTTTTTTAAAGTCTTTTCTTCTTTTCATTCAACACAAATTGGCTACTTGTTTTTAATATTTTCTTATTTTCTAAACTTCTCTGAAATAATAGTTCTCATTTTGAGGCTTGGTTCCTGTATGGCATACAGAATGTTTTGTCTTAGCCTTCGTTGATATGAGTCACACTCTAACCCACAGGTACAATTTTGGGACCTGGTTGTTTTCATTGTATTTATTTAAGTGATTTTTTAAATTTTTATTTTAATAAACTAATAATGTGGTCATAAAAAATGTACTCAAAACGTCTTGTAAAATGTACTTAGAATTTCTGAGTGAAAAACCTTTACTTTTTTTTTTGCTTTTGATGATATAAGGTGCTACTCCTGAAATATTGATGTCTCCTTCAAGTAGAAGTAAATATATTCTACGTAGTAACGTTTTGTGCTATATAAAGAGTAACTGTAGTCTGATTACCTGATGTGGAAAAATTAACACGTTTGATTAGTCGTTACCGGAAAACGGGAATATTTTGGAGGAACCGGCATTACTGGTGAGGGGAATTAGTGAAGTGAGGCTAAGAACTGCAAAATCCCCATTTAATAAAATGAAATGACAAAATAATGCACTTAAAGCACTGAAAGCTTACAGGTGATTTCTCAAGTAACATTTTAACATTCTAAAACGTCCTACACGTACAAAGAGAAATTAACCGCTGTATAACAGATTAAAAATAAAGCACAACTTCTCACACATTCAGTATTACTGAGAGGTACCTCACACCTCACCTTTCCTGATGACAGGTTTCAACAGCCACACTCTTCACACTGCGGGCTCTATTGAGGTTCCATGGATGCTGTTTTGGGGGTTAGGTATGTTGTCTTATGAATACTAGATCGTATACTTATTCATGGGCTTAAAGTCTATATGCTGATTTGGATTTCTCAGCTCCTCCTTGGGGGCCTCGTACACAATGCCCTCATTAAGCAGCAGTTGCAGTGACCCCTACTTAATGAGGATTAATGCAGGACTATCTTGGATTTTTTTTTTTTTTTTTTTTTAACGAAGACTAACTTCCTGCCTGCCAATTCCTACCTGCTTCTTATTGATTTCAGCTATTACTGAGTAACCGTTTATGTTCGTGTGTAACCATTGGGCACATGTTAAATAAAGAATCCGAAATAAAGTTTGATAATGAGACACGGTCGAATGGGAATTGAGGGTTTGTGGGAGGAAGTCTGGAACAATGAGGTGAGATACAAGACAGCATTTTTAAAATATGACAACGATAGAGAAAATGCAGAATGACAATATGCTGGATAAGTAGGTTTGAGTAAAATATCTACTGTACTGCCCTCCAAGTTTAAGGGTTCTACATTCGTTCTTGTGTTGCCATGGTGACTTCATCGTTATTGCCATGTCGTAATTCAGAGTAGCTATTTTTAAATATGATTTTCCAAAGCAGCTTCGGGGGTTGAAATTAAAATGAAGATCCACTCAAATCACCTCTAACTCTAACAATAAAAAAAAAAAAACACTCCAAAGATTTTTGTATTCAATTAAATGAATGCAACATGTGAACTGTTTGGTAATGATTCATAGTGTGTGAATATCCAATAGCTTTCAGATGTAAATTATATTGAAGTGGTTTCATGGTGTTCCTGATAAGTGATTACAGAACGAGATGCTCAAGCAGGAGTGTCGCGCCTGTTTTCATCACAGTTAGAGTTGTCCTCAGCAGGCCATTTAACTGTAAAATCATGCGAATTTATAATCACTTGGTGTATAAAGGCTTTGCCAAAATTTAGTTTGATGCATCACATATTCTTTTTGTTTCATCCACTGTTCTTCGTTTTAGGAAAGGAAAGATTCAGAGCAGTAATAGTTTCACCAGTCTAAACTATTATGCTGCAACAACAATAGCAGCTGTTATTATTATGTTTTTTTTCATAATGCACTGATGTTTCCATTCAACAAAAACATCAGTAGCCATGACGGCCTGAAGCCAGAAGCCAAGCTGGAGTGTGTTTGTTTTCACATTAGATGTGCCAGAGTGCAAATCAATCGACACTTCATGTCCCTGACCTAATATGTTCCGTACCAACTCATCTGAGTCTGAATACATTTACCCCTTATCATTTCCACATCATATTAAACAATTTCCCTCAGAATTTGATGATCTAAGTTTTGAAGAGAAGTCAAGAAAGATTAGCAGCAAACTTGGATCTGAGTTTGACACCTGCACGCTAAAGCGTCTAGTGCGAGCTTACCATCAAGCTCCCTTGGGGGAAAAGCTTTTTCAATGACTCCCATTGTACTTGCTTTGGGACATATGTGTTGCGTTTACTACCATGAGCACCAAAAACATGACTACACACTCAAGGCATGATTACTCCTTTTCAATTAGTGAAGCGATGCAAAACATCCTAAAGATGCAGTCGACCACTTCTTGACAGATACATTTCCGAATAAGTTGTTTCTAATGACAACAAAAAAAAAGTCATTACTACGCCTTTATCCAAACCATTCTCTCAGCTTTTCCCATGTTTATTTGTTTCCACCTTGTAATAGTCATGTTTCCTATTCTTAAGTTCATAACATATATCAGATCAACATCTGGACTTTCACAGCTGCTAAGCAAGAACAGTATAAAACACACAAAAAAAAAAAGAAAGTAATTGACACGAAACATAAAATTAAGAGAACAGAGGAGAGTGGCTTACTGTCCACTGGAATGTACATAAGAGCCATGTAGTCAGTGGGAATGTGGAGGTGGGCTCATTGGCTTGCTGGGGGTGTTGTGAGAAGTCTCGGTCGTGGCCACTAGTCATAGTGGTGCTTCAGTCAAGCCCTCCAAGGGGAGCGTCGTGGCATTGTCAGTGGGCCGCTGATCCTCTTGAGGATGCAGAGATGTGTGTGTGGTGGCAGCCAGGCTGGCGTAGGCAAGGTGACAGTCGGCGTGCAGAAACGGGGGGTAGTGCTGGCGGTAGCTGATGTATGCAAACAATAGCCCGATCACTCCTCCGACAAAGGCATCTGCACAGTCACAGAAGGGCATTTATTTTGAAGTATGTTGCCATTGTTAATCGTAGCCTAACACTGTCACACCTGCTGCGAAACCAAACATTAATTCAGTGCAGCAGAATGTGTTAAGACTGCCTCAGTGTGCATATTTTTTAAAAGTAAATGAGAATTAACTGGAATGCAAAGCAAATAAACTGCAATGGTCTCAGGTGGATACGGAAAGGCTTCTGCAGCATATTGTAACTGTCCATCCAAATCCTATCATACAAGTTTGGGGAATATAAAAAGACCTTAGCGTTCAGCTTCTCGTTGCATATTCTGAAGGAGACACTTCCACACTCTACAAATATTCTCTTAGGTCTTATTAAACTCAATTTCTCTCTCCTTCTGGCTGAAATGGAATATAAGGCCAGTTCCCACCATCCAGAAACTATATAATGCATGAGCTTGCTGAATGTTTCATTGACTCCTGTCAAATACATTTAACAGTCAGAGACCTAATGCTATCAATTAAGATGACGGCTGCACAGTGACACTGATTGGAAGGCAAGGCAAAGCCTCAAAAGACCGAGCTCACAAAAAAGTCTAAAGGGATCATGGGACTATGAGTATTTATCAAGCACGATACAGCTGCCAGGCTAATGGTGTTTCCCAGCTTGTGTTTACACTGAGAGTGGACCAAGGCCCCTCGGGTTTAATAGGCTGTACTATTGCTGCATATGCTGACACTCTGCTGGAGGAGGAAGGGGACAGCATTTGTGGAGAACAAACAAATCACAGAGGGGCCATATTTTGGGGGGTGGGGGGTGGGACTGTCTTCTTTGGCTTGCCTTCAGTTCAGAGGAGTGTTTTAGTGTTTGTGTTCAATCAAGCAAGGTGGATTGTGGGTGGTAGCCCATACCGTGTCTGAGACTATTTTTACCTAATGCATTATGTTCACACATGACTTACCACATGTGGCTCACTTCCACATTGCTGAAGAAGGGCAAGAAATATATGAAAAAGACTCAACACTAAAATCCTGACTGGATTTGGGGGCGCAACTAGTGAGGGTGTTGATGTCAGTGGTGTGGCTCCATTAAAAACTTAGAACGACCTAAAATCGATTGATATCCAACTCACTCTGAAGTAGGTCCATTTAGGCATGTTTTTTTTTCCGCAAAGAGTAGCAGATTTGTGTTTCATAATAATAAATAATTAAAATAATAATGAAAATAATGGTACTAATGTTTGTAGGAGTAGTGGTATATATGTATGTTAAAATTTGACATGGGAATACCACATACTGTACGTACTGTTGACTCATATAGGAGTGCAGACACACATGAAAAATGTAAATAATTTTGAGGAACTACATGCACTTTGTATTGAATCAACCTGTGTGTGTGAAAACCTCATCAGATGTATTTTACTATTATAAGAAAATTGAAGACATGGCAAGCATGAAATAAATCACATGATATCATCCATCAAGTACACAAATATGTAAATTTTTTAATTATTTTAGCATGGAGACTCTAATCGTCATCACCCGCCAGCAAATTTGAAAAATGGAATCCCAACCGTATTCCTTTGTACAGCAATAAATATGCAAAGCACGTGTGCATGATATAATGTTTTTTTTTTTTTTTTTTAATTAGGGTTTGAACTAAATGCTATGTGCGCTAATACTAATGCATTGTTCCTGACCTTGACTCCTTGGGATTTGGGGTTGGGGTGGTGGAGGAGGTTAGATTATGTCATATTTTCAAATCGAACCCTGATCCCAACTTCTTTCCTATCAACACAATGTGTACACTGGACTTCACTAAAACTGATAAATACCATATGACAATGCTGTCTACAGAAAACATCAGTTCTTTTGCCGTCATCATTTTCTGTCCCATACATGTGGAATGTAATCTTTCCGTCTTTCTAGACAAGACTAAGAACATTTTTAAAGGGTGCTAAATCAAATCCTCGCTCACTTGTACTCTGAAGCAATTATAAATGCTGCTGAGTTAAAAATGCATGCAGTCACATAAATATGACAGAGCTGTTTGGAAGATTTTGGTTCTTGTTCATGGCGTTTTAATTCCTGGATGATGCATCATCTTGACACATTTCTTGTTTTTCTTGTTTGAGTTGTACACATAGAAGAGGGCTGCGTTCAGATTGACTTTTCAATCTTAATACTATCACAGCCATCTGCACATGCGTGGATGCTTTTTATTCTGAACAGAACACAACGTAAAATACAACTCAAGGTTGGAGCCTTCAGGCTGACCTTGCCAATGGTGCTTGTAGTCACAGGTCCTGGACAAAGCGATCATCATTGCGCTGTAGAGGGGCAGCACCATGGCACAGAGGCGCCAGCTACGACCTCGGCCCTGATCAGTAAAGCACTGCAGTTTGCCCGCCAGGTAGAAGGAAGTGAATCCAAGCCCGGAGAATGCAACTAATTAGGAGAAGAGAAAGACGAATCAGTTCAAATTCCTCATTCAGGTTGCACTCCAACTTTTCTTTAAAACTTTTAGTTGTGTTATGATTCATCACAGAAATGTCAATATGTGGCAGGACACCGTAAGCATTTTCTTTTAACTGCAATGATATTTCAGAGCCATAGTGTGTCAGTAATGAGTACCACAGTAACACAACACCTGCCCCTGTATACGTCATTCGTCTCATTTGTGTAAACGGACCTGACCTATGAGATGCAGAGGAAATGCAAACTACCTGGACCACAGGAACTTTGTATTAACAGGAATTAAATGTTCCTTGTTGGTAGAAAAGTAGCAATTGTTGACGATAAAATAAATAATTTTCCTGTTGATTGCATAATTCAAAACACGATGTATACATAGGCTCTGTTTTTAATGAAGTGGTTCATGCACCTGACTTCCGTTCAGGTAGCATGGCTTTAGTTTGACGCTGTGCGATGGTATGAATGTCTGTCTCTGTCTGCACTGTGATTGACTGGCAATCAATCCAGGCTGCCCAAAGTCAACTGGGATTGTATTTAATTAAGATATTAGGATATTAATCCCTGTCATAAATGTGTGTTTCTGTGACCAGTAGCTAAATATGTCAGATTTTAACGCTAATATTTGTCACTTTTTTTTTTTTTTTTTATATATATATAAATAACTTTTTCACAAATATTGACAAATAATTAGTAGCCACCGATCGAAGCAACCCTGTGTACAAGCAATTAAATTCATTTTATAATGAAATACAATATGATTCACCTGCAGTCAAGGTTTGTTTATGGTGTAGTTTGCTTTAACAGACAAACCAAATATAAATCAATAGGTCGACAGTGATCAGATCACAGGTCTCAACTTGTTTTTCACACCTCCATCCATCCATCCATCCATCCACTTTCTGAACCGCTTTATCCTCACAAGGGTTGCGGGGCATGCTGGAGCCTATCCCAGCTCTCTTCGGGCAGGAGGCGGGGGACACCCTGAACCGGTTGCCAGTCAATCACAGGGCACACACTGACGAACAACCATCCGCGCTCACACTCACACCTAGGGACAATTTGGAGTGTTCAATCAGCCTGTCATGCACGTTTTTGGAATGTGGGAGGAAATCGGAGTACCCGGAGAAAACCCACGCAGGCCCGGGGAGAACATGCAAACCCCACACAGGAAGGCCAGAGCCGGAATTTAATCCGGTACCTCTGCACTGAGAGGGTGATGCGCTAACCACTGGACCACCGGGCCGCCTTTTCACACCTCATGGAATGCATTTCCAATATCAGTAATTTTTCCAGACTCAACAAAGATAAAAATATGCCTCCAGCATAATATGAACTTTTTCCATTGTGATATACTGGACCTGCTCAGGTTATTTGGGCTAAAAAAAGGCGAATATTGGATTGGTAGAAGAGACCCAGGAAGCTTTATGGGCACATGAGTTGGGTGGTTAAAATAGTTGATTGGCTGCAGGCGTGTGCAACCCCACACTATACCACTGAGACTGATTATTTTACACTATAACGTGGACATTGCCGTTTCTGCAGAGTAATGATTTTCACGATCGCCTCACAAACAAAAGGTACCCGCTATGTAGACTTGGTATTAGTTGTGCACGGTGAAGACTTTTTGCAGTGGAAAGACTTTACCCAGAACATGACAATTCACAGAACATTCACAGAAATCAGACAAACAGCTCAGGAGAATGAAGGTCAAAACAGAAAAGACTCAGGAGGAAATTCTACCCTCAAGATATGAGGCCATGCTGTAAACATTTGCTATCCATCAAAGAGACATTTTTTGTAACAATTTTGACTTGTAAGTGGAGCATGAACCTAAAACATAACTATTTGCGGGGGGGGGGGACAGACCTGAGTATACACAAATTATTGCATAGAGGTAAAGGTGCTTGCACATATTTTTGATTAAAAAAAAAAATCATTCAAATATTACCCCAACGTAGCCTATCAATGCCCGAATTAGATTTTGTGTTGGATGTAACCCCCAGATGACCTATTGGCCATTTAAAATTTGATCAGGTTGACAAAGGGGAGCAGAGACATTTGTAAGCAGAGAATAAGACACCTACGATTTTTACTAGACAACATTTTACATATCAAACATGCTGCATCTACTTTATCCAAGTAGAAGGTTCTTTTGTATGTTAACAAATAAATAAAATATTAATAAAATGTAACGTTTCTTTTTTGTTTAAAAAAAAAAAAAACAACTCGCGCTTGTTTTATACATTGATGTGTCATAACGAGCCCACCTGCCCAAAAAAACAACAACACAAATCACTGTAAAGCAATGTCTTTATCTTACTGCTAAAGGATGCTGATATTAAGCCATTTAGATAATCTGAAACGGATCTGCAAGCTTTTCCTGTTGCCTGTTTAAACAGTTCACACAGAGGACCCATTAGATTCTGTCAGGGGCTTTGTTGGTAAGCTTGGAAAAGCTGGCGCAGTGTAGAAAATAGAGCTAAAACCTTGAAGAGCAAAATTGGCTGGAGTCGAGATCTGGAAGATTACAATAACATAAAAAAAAATGCATATTCCAGTACATTCGTGGGGAGTGTCATGGTGTCTCCCTGCTGCCAAGAATAAACATAATTTGCTCATTCATTCTGAGTGGAGAGGTTACACAGGGATTCCTGTATGAGTTTCTAATAACCAGAAAGAAGGCAGCAGCAGATGGCCATGGAAGGACAAGATTAGACAAAAAGAGCACATTACTCAAGTGAATTCACTTCGTGCCTTTGAGGAGCCCTGATAGATAAATCCATTGACAAAAACATTGATGACAGATGACAGACGTTTGCAGCCTGATTGTTTCTCATTCTCGAAGAAGCAAGTTCAAGTCAAGATGAAACAAGTGCCGGCGTATTTTCCATCTTTGATTGTTGTGTACATCACACAATGGAGAAGGAAGTGGTGTCAAACTTCAGAAACGTTTGAAAATGGTGAAAAAAGACAAACCCTGCTTGTAATCGCTGTAAAAATTGAATCAAAAAGAAATGCAATTTTGGTATAGATTTTTGCCAAAATGAAAAGAACAAATCCATTTAGCAAACAAACATTTGGTGGACACGCTTTTTTTTTTTTTTTTTGCTTTAGTGCGCGACAATGAAGGGTGCGGTGGGCCGGATCTTACCTCTGCGTGTTGAGTTTGAGACTTGTGGTGTACAAATTCCTCTTTAATTTCAGAAACTAAAATATGCCATTTAGCATTCAGCATTTACAGATATTTTTTGTTTGTTTGTTTTGTTTGTTTTTCTTAGAAAGAATAGATTTTCAGATTCTGGAGCTGTTTGGCAAGAAGGTCTGAACTGTAGCCACCTGTTGTGAAAAATGGAGGAGGAAGGTATGGGGGCTCACACTACATGCCTGCCAGGCTGCCATCTTAACCTTTTATGATTTTCTTTGTTGCTTATAGCTGCATGCATTAACACGAACTTCCAACCTGACTTCTTTTAAAATAAAGTATAAAATACATAGTATCGTAATGAACATAAAATTATGTTGAATTTACAATACAGCGCAACAAATCTGTGATAATTGCAAAGTAGCCTATGTTGTGGAAGTACTTTTGGAGCTGCAAGAGTTTACTCATTAGCTCACGTTCATCAGAATCATCTTTATTGGCCAAGTATGTAAAACACACAAGGAATTTGTCTCTGGTAGTACGAGCTACACTCGTATTGCAATAACAAGCAACAACTGTAAGGGTATCAATGTGCAGTAGTACCACCCAATGGTAGCTGTACAACAATGCAAAGTCATCCAGAAAAGATAAATTGATCAGTGGCGTGGTACTTATGCGGACGGTTGTGTAGTCGGTGCAGATAATTGTTGCAGCATTTAAAGTGACCAGTAGTTGTTGTCCAACTTTAGGTGTGCAATTATGCAGAAAGTCCTTGAGCGCTTTAAGTATGTAGTGCTGTGGAATATTGGATCCACAACAATTGTGCCGGTATGTAGAGCGCTGGAGCAACAATAATCATATAACATCAACATCAGCTGGGGTGGCTCCACCCCACCTTCAACACCAGTGAGGACAAACAGTACAGAAAACGGATGGATAGAAATTTTCCATTTCTATTCTTTTATTACATTTATTTTTTTTTTTTTTGTGAACAAAATTGAGGATGACAACCATACCAGTACAGATTGTTTTAAACTTTCTTACCTTATCATGAAAACATTTTGGAACACAAATCTTTATCCAACTTCGTACTCTGCATTTGATCTTAATGAGGGTTGGAAAATGCCATATTTTGTTCGTGCCATATGTCGTGTGTGCTCTGAGCTTGATAACAGAATACTGCTATCAGTGCAAAAGTAGCTATTGAAAGCAGCTGGTGGGTTTAAAAGTCGACTCCCCCTTCCACTCTCACAACGATAACAATTACATTGGTTGGCAGCAATTTTGGAAACACACAATAAGTGCGAAGAAGAAGAGTGAAAGTGGCGGTTTGAGAATTGTCCGCCACTGCATACTGCATACTGAAGATTTTAATAAAGTAATGCAGAGATTTACTATGGAAGGATAATTTTACACACATACACAAGCATGGACTCATCTCCTTTCTCCCTTCCACCTCTATTTTAATTTGATCTGTTACCCCTTCCACCAGCAGTAGAGCATTAATCCTCACCAGTGCATATTAAACAGTCACTTTGGCACTGATGCCGTTTTAACTGTCTCTTCATTATTGCGCCTCCATCAGCTCAATCTCTATTTGTTAAAGTACCCCGAATTTTTATGACAGACATTTTACAGTTCTTAATTTTGTTTCAGTCAATTGTAAGCGAGCATAAATCAATGATCGAATGGCCCATTATGTCTGTCTTAGAAGGTGCAGAAAATATGAACTGACACAGACCAGTTGGACAAGGGGATTATGAGTAGGGAGGACGTCGCTTTTGAATCTAACATTATGGCTACATTTATTGGAGTGCTTAGAGTATTTTCTTTCTTCGACTTGTCGACCCAAAAGTATTGAGGGAAATCTAAACACACAAAAAACTTTAAAGCTAAGTAGAGGATCAGCGTCTTATATACACGTGTGCATATGTGAATGCGTGTGTGTGTGTGTGTGTGTGTGTGTGTGTGTGCGCGTGTGTGTGTGTGTGTGTGTGTGTGTGTGTGTGTGTGTGTGTGTGTGTTTCATTTGCTGTTGTGGTTATTTGTTTGTGTCACGAAAAGTAATGGGACAAATTAACAATCGTAAATCAAACTTTCACTTTTGAATATTTGGTTGAAAAGATTTTTGTAAATTACAGTCTGAAGTCTTGAATGCATAGACATCACCAAATGCTGGATGTCATCCCTGGTGATTCTCTGCCAGGCATTAATTGCGACTCTCTTCAGTTCCTGCTCATTCTTGAAGCATTTTCCCTTCATCAAGTGCAATGCATCCTCAATCACATTCAGGTCAGGTGATTGATTTGTCCATTGTATAACATTCCACTGAAAAATCTCTTTGGTTGCCTAAGATGTATGCGTTGGGCGATTGCCCATCGACTTTGTGAAGCACCGTCCATTGAGGTCTGAAGTATTTGGCTGAAAATGAGCAGATCATATTGTGCGAAACACTTCACATCATTATCAATAAATACAAGGGTCCCATTGGCAGCCATAAATGCCCAGCTGACCATGGAACAGCTGAGCAGCCAATCATCCCATTACTTTTGGTCCCTTAAAAAGTGGAGGCACATATGCCAAGTGTTGTAATTCCCATACCGTTGACCTGATTTTGATGTAAATACCTTCAAATTAAAGCTCATCGTCTGCAGGTAAAGAACATTTTGTTCATTTCCATTATTCATTATTTGTACATGCTGTACATGTTTGGAATTAAGCCTGTATGAGGAAGCCAAAGTACCCGGAGAGATCTCATGCAAGCACAGGACAGATTGAAACCCACTGTGCTTACGCCCAAGCTAAGTCTGCACAGTCAAGTCCTTATAGACTGAGCTATTACCACCCCATGCATCAAAACGCACAGGATATGGATTATTTGATCCCATGTTATAAATATTTTCATCTTCACTGCTACTTGTTAATCAACTGTAATCTTCCATGAAGTTTTAAGGAAGTAAACAGTGTTAATTAAACATTGTTAGGGCAATTGCCAAGTATTTTGAACAGATTTCTCTGCACACAAGAAACTCATCCACTTTGCAAAATCACACTGAAGCATTCTCCCGGATTTACATGCTCTTAATTAGATGTGGAAGAACAAAGTAATATATTCACAGAGATGTTCAGTTGACCACAATTATGCTTCTCTTGAACGTGAACGTTTTGTCATATTACATTTTTAATTTGAATCAACCTTTCAAAATCATTGCTTGTTATGAGTATGGCTTCTCTCACGAATTTATATGTAATTTCAACGTAAGCATCAACACTGACATTGAATGCAACGCTTCTTTGGCATAGTGTTGTTTTTGGCGGCCTGTTTTAGTTTTAGTCATGTTCATATTTAGTCTCGTCAAGTTTTAGTCGAATAAAGGTCTGATCATTTTAGTCATTTGTTTTCGTGTAATTTTAGTTGACTCAAACTGATGACATTTTAGCTTTGGTAAATGAACTCATTCACCTACTGGTTGATTAGAAGCACATGTGGCTAAAGTCAAGATGTTGGAAAGTTTTTACAGTTCTGGAACTGGATGATTTGCCACAGTGTAGTTTTAGTCAACAAAATCCGATGACATTTTAGTCTGCTTTTAAGTCAAAGAAATTTTTCAGTCACGCAATTCTAGTTCACCCTGTCAATATACTACATGTCCCCAATAGTGGAGACAAAAGCAACATTTTCCTTTAGCCAAAACCAATTGTTACCTTACAGACTGAAGAATATATTTCAGACACAAAAGAAACTCTGATTTTAATTACTGTATATTTATTATATCAACCATGTTTAATAGAAGCACACACACATTAATTTAAATAAAATATCATCGCAATGCTAGAAACAAAATCTCTCTCTCTCTCTCTCTCTCTCTCTCTCTCACACACACACACACACACACACACACACACACACACACACACACACACGCTACCCACACACACACACACACTCTCGAGTCTGGCTAATGAAATCATCTGTGGCTACATTTTAATCCCTCCTGAAGGCCACAGTCAAAATAACAAGGATTCTTTGAAACGCAACTATCTTTCGTACACAGGTCACACACACACACACACACACACACATGCATTCTGCACTATTTATTGTGGAGGCACCACTAAGCTCTGTATGGTCAGCAGCAAACAGTCCAAGCATGCAAGTTTCTATACATTAATCAGAGGGACAAAAACACTTGAATTATTCAACACCTCTATGAAGTAAAAGAGCTTGGCCAGAAGATGCAAAAAAATAGTTTGTGAAAACACTCATGCCCAGCAGACTAGGAGCAAATAAGTTGATCATATTTCCACACAAGCTGTCATTAGATGTAAATTAGAACACCTCACAAAAAACAAAAAAAAACAAAACAAACAAAAAAAAAACCCTAGATGTTCTTCTTGTGGAAACATGACAGAATCCTCTGTTCTCAGTGAGTTATTGAGCATGTGATGTTTTGTCTCCTGTCATGTTTCGCAAGCTGGAAGTGATGTGGCTGCTACTTACAAGAGGAATGGCTGCTGGGAAAACTCTTGCGACCTTCTGAGACCAGATGTGGCTCCCCGGTGCACAGCATTTTTACATTCACTTGTCCATCTGGGAAACAGCGCTGGAAGTAATCAGGCCTTGGTCTGGGGGTAAAATGCAACCATTAGATTTTTATTTATTTATTTATTTTTTTACTATTGAAGCTCCATTTGCATCAAGCAGTACAGAACAATATGGATGGGTTATACCTAAATTGGAACTTCGAGTGAGCAGTGAAACTTGTGTTAGCACTATTCCTGAAACTGAGGAGACCATTCTCTGTTGTACCTTTAAAATACACGAGTGTGTAGTAAACTAGTGTCTGGCGTGACACTTTACAAGCTATGCCACCGTTGTTTGTACCCCAAGGGAAAGGTTACAAATGAATACTACCAATAGCTTTTGCTTACCTGCCAACAATTAACTTGATAGTGTTTGTGAAAACTCCATTCAGGGCGAGAGCCAGCGACACTGCTGCAAAAGGGAAAATTACAAATATAGTCAACCATGCCTCTCATTGAGCTAGATTGCCACACCATTTCAATCACATTTGGCTCAAGAAACAGTCAAACATATTCGCCCCATGAATGAAGTCTAAAATTCTCTCACGTTCTAAAATAACACACAAATTAAAGGTTGTTGCCATTCTAACACACACTCTCTTGGCAGTCCATCGTAGTCGAAGATGACGTAGCTTCCTTCTGCTGTGGTGTGTTGGTCAGTGGTCATCTTTGCTGTCGCAGATGCCACTGTAGATGACTATGAAGCCCGATTCTGGAACCACATATCCTGCCACAGTTAGGACATGTGAGGCCTGGATCGGGAGGCTGAGGTGGAGCTGGAACAGCGTGTACAGGTTGGTGTCTCTGCTGGCGCCGCAGCACCCTTTGCTGGGTGCGGTTCTCCTCCAGGCATGTGACCCCTTTGTGGCATAAGGAGCGCCAGAGTGGCCGGTTAGCTGCAGCTGACTCCAGGTTGTTGGGTTGGATGTTGCACTTCTTAAGAGTCTGTTTCAGCTGGTCTTTGTACCGCAGCTTTGGACCACCAGACTTTCTGCTGGCTGACGGACAGGGCAGGGTTGAGTGGACTGCGGACTGCGTTGACTACATGTGGTAATACTTTGCATTTCCTGTACAAAGGGTGGCGGTAGGCTTCAAAGACCTGCGGTCCGCCAAAGAACTAAGAAGATGAAAAAGAAGATCACAATGACTCGTATTTATAGACAGGAGCAGGAGTACAAGTGACTTGAATTGGATTCTACCCTTGCCCACAATGCGGAGCAGGATTCTGGTTAAGGTAATACAATACAATAGAATACGATACATCTTTATTTGGATGAGCCACTTTAAACTTTAAACTAAAAGCTTTGGCCATTTTATGAGTTAAAACAGCTGCAGGCAACCACCACTATGCTCCTGTTAAGTTAAAAAGATTCTGACGTGAAATATTGGAAGTGTATGTGTGTGTCAAGTTCTTTGGATATCCACCGTATGATGTAGATACACTGATATATAGTGCACTCCATTGACCAGTTTAATCAAAGTTGATTCTTCATCTGTTGAACTATGAATCTTTTTCTGGGTGTGGGGACTGACAGATTGATGACAGACGGACTGGCAAACCGGTGAAATTTACTGACAGAAGCGATGATGGAAGCACGGTTAAAATAACATGACAAACTGACCAACTGATGATTATAGGTTGGTTTGGCTTGAAAAAAATGACTGACTGACGGTGATGGATGGGTGCCCAGGCCGCTGACGAATGATGAACCGGCAAAATTTGGTAAGCTGCCCACCTCTGATAAGAATAAGGTTATACTTTGCAAAAGAGGCTGCAGGACTGATTACACACCTAAATACCTCCAGATGGACATGTGGTGTAGAAGTTACAGCATTCCCTGCATGATGTGCTTGCTTCGTAGCATTGGACTGAAGTCACGATCCGGTAAGAAAAAAGACATTCACTCTGACACCCTAATAACACGATTCATAGAATGAAAATGTTGTATGCTCTCCTCTGAATTTACAAACGCATTAGTGCGGTGGTGTTGTTCTGGCTAGCGAGACACTATAAACATTAGCTACAGAGGCTGTTACAGGAGCATAAAAACTGTAAAAATACATTCTTTTGTGGAGATAGCAGTTAATTGTCATGCCGCTAAATTAAACTTGTCACTTGTCATTTGTCACTGATGCCTTTAATTTTTTTTTCCAGACTATTCAGCTATTAAAAAATAATCAGCACGGATTTCGTAAATGTAGGTCACTTGTTTCCCAGCTTTTAGGTATTCTGAATGATTGGATCAATATTATTGATGATGCATATGTTGATGCATTTTACTTATGTTAAGCTCTTCCTTACTGTACACTTTCATAATTGCTGGCAAACTTATTGAATGGCTTGAGGCATACTTCATTGGGCGGAAAGAGTTTTTGACGGTTGGCAATTCAAATTCTGAATTAATTGAGGTAACACCTAGTGTGCCACAAGAATCTGTACTTGCTCCGAAGATTTTTCTTACTTCCATCGATGGTTTTTAGATTTGGTACAACAATTCCAGTTGTACAATGATGATGCTTAACTTTATGGTTCTTCCAGTCGCTATGATGATATCGGTCACGTAATCTAGACTGATTTGGACCCAGTCATTGATGGTGTAGTGGTACACTCGCCTGACTTGTGTGCGAGCCGTGTGGGGAAATCGGTTCCCACTCAGTGACGTGAGGATGTGAGTGTGCATGGTTGTTTATCTCTATATGTAGTCTGCCTTCCACCCGAAGTCTGCTGGGATAGGCTGCAGCACCGCATCGTGACCCTCTTCAGGATAAGCGGTGTTGAAAATGGATGGATGATTTGGACGCAGTTTATCAGTGGTTTGGTAATGGGGCACTTGAAAAGAGTACCCAGAGTTATTTTCTTGTGCATTATGGCTATGTTAATCCATCCATCCATCCATGCACACCGCAACATGATGAAGTGTCTAACAGTTTACAAGATGTGAAAGCCTCTAAATCACCCCCTGCCATCTTGCCAAAACCCCAAGATCAATTGAAAATCCAAATAATATCACTTCATGAATGGAGCACAAAAGGTTTCGAAGTTGAAAGTCATTTATCATCCATTGAGCACATGAAAGTATCTGTGACATGAGCTTTGATTCATGGTACCCCTTTTCTTTCTTTTTTTAAATTGAAAGGAGATATTAAGGGTTTTTTGGGGCAAAATAAAGCTCAGGTGTCCACGTCTGTCACATGCCTTTGTCAAAAGTGTTAAGAGTTATAGAATACTTTTCAACCTCTGACTCAAGCCTTGAAGAAATTACACTACAGTGTGTTGAGGGAACATCCTTCCTTCAAACGAAAGATTGTCAACCCTGCCCCCTCGACTGCCAGGGAAAATGTATTGCTAGGGACTATAGGGATGGGCGAGCAATACTAGACTTATTTAAAGGTATCGAATACTCATGAAGGCTGTCAATACCATTGACCGATATAAGAAGGCTAAAAAACACGCACGAGTGTATGCCACACTCCGACCGACAGTGTGGCTTTGTTACAATAAACGGACAGGGCAGGGTTGAGTGGACTGCGGACTGCGTTGACTACATGTGGTAATACTTTGCATTTCCTGTACAAAGGGTGGCGGTATGCTTCAAAGACCTGCGGTCCGCCAAAGAACTAAGAAGATGAAAAAGAAGATCACAATGACTCGTATTTATAGACAGGAGCAGGAGTACAAGTGACTTGAATTGGATTCTACCCTTGGCCACAATGCGGAGCAGGATTCTGGTTAAGGTAATACAATACAATAGAATACGATACATCTTTATTTGGATGAGCCACTTTAAACTTTAAACTAAAAGCTTTGGCCATTTTATGAGTTAAAACAGCTGCAGGCAACCACCACTATGCTCCTGTTAAGTTAAAAAGATTCTGACGTGAAATATTGGAAGTGTATGTGTGTGTCAAGTTCTTTGGATATCCACCGTATGATGTAGATACACTGATATATAGTGCACTCCATTGACCAGTTTAATCAAAGTTGATTCTTCATCTGTTGAACTATGAATCTTTTTCTGGGTGTGGGGACTGACAGATTGATGACAGACGGACTGGCAAACCGGTGAAATTTACTGACAGAAGCGATGATGGAAGCACGGTTAAAATAACATGACAAACTGACCAACTGATGATTATAGGTTGGTTTGGCTTGAAAAAAATGACTGACTGACGGTGATGGATGGGTGCCCAGGCCGCTGACGAATGATGAACCGGCAAAATTTGGTAAGCTGCCCACCTCTGATAAGAATAAGGTTATACTTTGCAAAAGAGGCTGCAGGACTGATTACACACCTAAATACCTCCAGATGGACATGTGGTGTAGAAGTTACAGCATTCCCTGCATGATGTGCTTGCTTCGTAGCATTGGACTGAAGTCACGATCCGGTAAGAAAAAAGACATTCACTCTGACACCCTAATAACACGATTCATAGAATGAAAATGTTGTATGCTCTCCTCTGAATTTACAAACGCATTAGTGCGGTGGTGTTGTTCTGGCTAGCGAGACACTATAAACATTAGCTACAGAGGCTGTTACAGGAGCATAAAAACTGTAAAAATACATTCTTTTGTGGAGATAGCAGTTAATTGTCATGCCGCTAAATTAAACTTGTCACTTGTCATTTGTCACTGATGCCTTTAATTTTTTTTTCCAGACTATTCAGCTATTAAAAAATAATCAGCACGGATTTCGTAAATGTAGGTCACTTGTTTCCCAGCTTTTAGGTATTCTGAATGATTGGATCAATATTATTGATGATGCATATGTTGATGCATTTTACTTATGTTAAGCTCTTCCTTACTGTACACTTTCATAATTGCTGGCAAACTTATTGAATGGCTTGAGGCATACTTCATTGGGCGGAAAGAGTTTTTGACGGTTGGCAATTCAAATTCTGAATTAATTGAGGTAACACCTAGTGTGCCACAAGAATCTGTACTTGCTCCGAAGATTTTTCTTACTTCCATCGATGGTTTTTAGATTTGGTACAACAATTCCAGTTGTACAATGATGATGCTTAACTTTATGGTTCTTCCAGTCGCTATGATGATATCGGTCACGTAATCTAGACTGATTTGGACCCATGCATTGATGGTGTAGTGGTACCCTCGCCTGACTTGTGTGCGAGCCGTGTGGGGAAATCGGTTCCCACTCAGTGACGTGAGGATGTGAGTGTGCATGGTTGTTTATCTCTATATGTAGTCTGCCTTCCACCCGAAGTCTGCTGGGATAGGCTGCAGCACCGCATCGTGACCCTCTTCAGGATAAGCGGTGTTGAAAATGGATGGATGATTTGGACGCAGTTTATCAGTGGTTTGGTAATGGGGCACTTGAAAAGAGTACCCAGAGTTATTTTCTTGTGCATTATGGCTATGTTAATCCATCCATCCATCCATGTGCTGGAGCCTATCCCAACCATCTTCGGGCAGTAGGTGGGGGACACCCTGAACTGGTTGCCAGCCAATCGCAGAGCACATAGAGACGAACAACCATCCGCGCTCACACTCACACCTAGGGACAATTTTGAGTGTTCAATCAGCCTGCCATGCATGTTTTTGGAATGTGGGAGGAAACCGGAGTACCTGGAAAAAACCCGCGCAGGCCCCGGGAGAACATGCAAACTCCACACAGGGAGGCCGCAGCTGGAATTGAACGCGGTACCTCTGCACTGTGGTCGATGCGCTAACCACTGGATCACCGGGCCGCTATGGCTACATTAATTCAAAATAAAAAGGAAATTGCAAAATAATTTGAAGGAGTCAGTTATGGTTAGCCACCAAAAGCCCAGTGGTGTACTCTATTTTAAAACAACCCATCGATGGTGATAAGTAGCACCAACTCAATAGGTGCATCAACTTCACAATAATCACACTGTGAAGACTTCACTGCTGCTTTTTAGCTTAGGTAATGAGTAATGGGAGAACCACAGCTGGCTGATATTTTCTGTAAGTACTGGACACCCACTTAATTAGCTATCAAGGCAACTGATGGGGCAGCCATTAGCCTGGGTACAATCCCTCACAGATTAATCTCCCCATAGCCTGGTGATAAAATTGAATTCACCCCACGTTACCAGCAATGGAATAAAAATGAAATGCAATGAAATCTCTCTATGCTGCAAAGAGAAGCATGATGGAAATGTTTCTGAACAATTTGCTAATCTGGACAAACTGCACAAATGAGACATGATGTGTCCGAGGGGCCCTTAAACTGCAAATGTGAAGACGTGAGATCTGCCGTATGGAGATCCACTCTTGTGCCTGCCGCATTGCATCATATTGTGCCCAGTTTGCTAATTGCCACTGGGATATTAATGTGTGTGTATACACAGTTGATCGAGGCAGTGTACTACTCTTTATATCCTCATGTTGGCATCAATGAAACAGTTTTTATAGAACTCTATAATAGCTCGACAAACACCCCAAGAGAATTTGGAGGAATTATTCATGTTTGGACCCACGAGCAAAAAAAACATTGTTATATTGATTAGTACATTCCTTCCAGCTGTATTTGTTTTGGACATCTGAAGCAAAGTGCTGTGCTCTACGTAACTGGGTGGAATGACTCCTATTTTTTTATAGTTGGGGCTTGGGCAGACCATCTCAAATAATGGGGCGAGCACCCGTGTGGCAGCACTGTGCGATACAATGGATCAGATAATGGATGGATGGATGTTTTTTTTAATGGTAATGACGATATACAGTATTGTTATGCAGAGGTGTACTTAAAACTATTTTATCGAAAAATTATACTATTTATAGTCACAGCGGGGAGTTGGGAGGTGTGAATTGAGAACCACTGGGCGAGGGTGATGATAGTCAAGTGGACTTCAACTACTCTATATCCTTTTTTTTTCAGTCATCACCTTGCTGTGTGTGCCTCAGTTTGACAGACCCCACAGACAACAGGCAATCCGTTCATCCAACCCCATTCAAGAAACTCAATCATCCAACCACATCTTGTCAAGTCGAGTCAAAGTTTTTCCAAGCAAGTAAGTCTCAAATCATATATATAGAGAGAGAGAGAGAGAGAGAGAGAGAGAGAGAGAGAGAATCACATTTCATGTAATTAGCTCCACCTACCTAAGCATGCCTCTTTGATTTCTGTCTTGTCTGTCCTCTGAATTATCTTCACCACAAATATCACCGCCAGTGGAGTAAGGAAGGAGATTGCCTACAAGGAAATCAAGATGAACGGTGTTCAGTTATTACAGTAGCATTAGTCATGTGTTGCTTGTTGAGATAACTAATATTAAATTATATCAGCCTCAGGAAATGACCTCCTTCTAAAGTACAGTATATTCAATCCTGTTTTAATTTTCAACATGTCAAACAAAGCAGAAAAGCAATCCGCTTCATTGTTATGAGGGTTTTAACAGACCCTTTCTTTGACGTTTGGCATTTCTCCTTTGCAGGACTGCATCATAATAACAATTTCAGTTTCATTTTTCATTTTATTATTTTCATTGCAAATGTTACTTACTTGGGGTAATGCTGAGGCCTACCGATTCCATCTCACTTGATGTGAGTGGTTGGGTACACCTAGATAGGATGGTGTAGTGGTACACTCGCCTGACTTGTGTGCGAGCCGTGTGGGGAAATCGGTTCCCACTCAGTGACGTGAGGATGTGAGTGTGCATGGTTGTTTATCTCTATATGTAGTCTGCCTTCCACCCGAAGTCTGCTGGGATAGGCTGCAGCACCGCATCGTGACCCTCTTCAGGATAAGCGGTGTTGAAAATGGATGGATGATTTGGACGCAGTTTATCAGTGGTTTGGTAATGGGGCACTTGAAAAGAGTACCCAGAGTTATTTTCTTGTGCATTATGGCTATGTTAATCC